TATAGCTATGAACTATAACTCATATCATGGCTATTGAAGCCATGGTTCAAGCTAAAGCCATGGCTTTCAAAGCTAAGTCAAGCCACTTAAGCCGATAACAACTCTAGCCTGGATGTCATGGAGGAAACTGAATCTATCTCAGAGTCTAACACAGATAATAATCAAACTGAAAAATAATCAAGAAGGAAAATATTCTAGTAATAATGAAATCCAAGACCTACAAGCACAACAAAGACAAATTCATGTAATAATCCAAAACACTAACTGAAAAATGGATAACCTCATGAGTACCATCCATAACCTCATTCCTGGTAACACAAACAACATGACCAACTATCAATAATGAGGAACAACCCAAGTACAAGCGCTGATACACAAAATATAACTGACAATCTTTTCAATATTTACAACTCAATAGACAACTATTCAGATAAAGACATACTTTCAGATAAAAACATTCTCTCAAATAAAAAAGAAACAAAAAATCACCCAAAAACAGACAAAATAATTAGTATACCCTCTACATATATCAGCATATTTCGTTTATTGGACCCAGATTAGTTCCCTTTATATTTGTTTGTGAAACTGTGATTAGACCCCAAATATTAATCATATGGTATTATCTGACAAGCGATCACCCTAGATTTTTTTTCAGCAAACACCCTAAACCCATTTTTCAATATACCATGACAATGTTTAACCAATGGCCCCACTCCTTAACCAATGAGTTTTGTGACAGGTAAAGTTGATAAATATAAGAGTAATAGTAGAGAGCAATTGCGTGTATCAAAAAGTAAATCGATTTTTTTCAGATGTCAATCTCTCAAGTGTTATCACCAAAGCCCATTACTGGAACTATTACAATACGACATCCAAGAACCAAAAATCATCCACACTTATGCACTATTTGTAAAGTTAAACATTATTCAACCATACGTGACCTTACTCAACATAAAAATGCTATTCATAAAGATTACAACATATTTCGATCCGGTATATCTCAACTACCAGCTGATCACATAACAGAGTTTAAAATAATTTTGGTGCATGTAATTCATAAACATTTATCTCTTCATTTTTCATGTTCAGGAAGACAACTAATTAAGTTTCCCTGTATGGAAAGTCAATTTGTCAGTGTTTTTGGAAGATATATAATGTGTTTTTTTCCAGCAAAAGGTACCTATTCTTGTGTATTCAAAGGTGAAAATGCAGATGACATGTTGTCTGAGATTCTTGGAAACCAACAATGGGACACGAGATATTATAAAGCCAGACAATGTGCTTATGTTGTCTTGTACATGGAAGGTTGGGATCAACAACAATTGACTTCAACATGAAAAAAATGTGATCCTGAAAGTATAAACGAAAAATCTATTCACAAAAAACAACTTTCACCCGAAATGCATAATCAATGGTTTATTGAAAGTCTATTAGATGTAAAAGGACATTCTACCTCATCGGGCTATATCAGAATAACTTTTAGAATGGATTGTAATTACAAATAATATTGTAAGTAACAAACTAGACTGGTTTTTTAATACATTGTATCAATTTTATTCATTTTTATCTTTACATTTTAAAAAGGAAATTGCTTTACGTAGTTTGAATGAAAATAAAAGTTTCTTTTTTATAAAAAATATTACCTGATCAGCTTGTGAATATTGCTTTCTATTTTACTGATATCGAAACTTTTTAAATTTTGATTTTTCCAGTTCTTGTTTATGACGGAGAAAATATAAAGCTTGATTTTCATAATCCAAAAGGTCAAGAATAGCGGATGAACGAACTTCAGTTGCTCTATCATCTTTCATAGTATTTGAAAAAAAATATGAAACTTGCTCATGATTTTTTTTTTCAATTGCAGAACAAGAAAACATGACAAAACCCCATCGACGATGTATCATCATAAACTTGGCCACATGATGAATTAGTACATGCATGTAAGGTGTTATATCTGCTGGATTGTAGAGTCTTTTCACGAAACTATATGTATTGCGCTTGCCACTGGATGGAGTAAGAAACAAAGAAAGCCAATTTCTTGCGTTATCTTTGAATTTTGCTGGATCAGTCAAAGGATTTTTTACTGCTTGATATAAAACATAAAATCCATTCCACAATTCTTGCACTTTTATTGCCCGATGTATATTAAGAAAAATATTCAAATCAAAGTTTTTTAATACTTTGAGCTTATCATCACCCATTAATGAGGTATGTGACCAAGTTTGCGATTGTGGATCTTGCCAAAATTAAAATTTAATACCAATTCGATTTATCTCAACACAGATTAATTGTCGGCACTCTTGATTAAACTCATTATCATTTTTACATTCTTGAATGGCCAAGTCCCAAAGACGATCCATTATCCGTAATAAGACATGTAGCTCATCAGGTACCCAATGCTCAAGAATTATCATATCAAATAATGGCTTGTGATTATGACCAGGATAAGATTTAATGTTTTGATTAATATTGTCCATTGATTTTTCAATAGTCCAAACTTTGTCCATTAATCCAATTTCTTTTTTTTGACAAGTGCACTATGGACAAAAGTATATAGAATTCGCTGCATTGAAACCCAAACAAACTGCTAGAAATTTCCAATCTGAACTAAAATATAATTCAGTTTTCCAATGTATTCCAAATTTATCAACTATTCCATTCAGTTTCAAGTTACACAAATCATATTACAATGGGTCCAATGCAATTTGCAGTATATTATACTTTTCGATACCAGGAAATAAAGCTATTGTATAATGTCTATTGGTTGGTTGATAGTATTCAAATCATTGAGAATCGCAAAAGTTATCATCACATGTTTTACTTTTCTTCCAACATTTTGACCATCACCTGAAATTCTGATATGAATAATAGATTGCAAAGGATCAAGAACTTGTTCGTTAATAAGAATTGGTATAATATACTTTAAAACATCTTTAATATTATTATATCCAGCTTTTCCAATTGATTTAATAATTTCTCGTATTACTTCCTTATCTTTAATATGTATTTCTTCTATATCATCAATTATCAACATGTTTGAATTCAAATATTAATTAATATCAATAAAAGATACTTTGATATCCTTTGCAATTAATATATTAATATTTTTTCATACTTGTGTTTACTAAATATTCACGTGGAAGATCATGTGAAATTGTTGCCAAAGCACGGTATCCTTTTCATGTAATTTGACCTTCATTCATTGCTTTTACAACATGTTTTAATTGTTTTTGTTCTTTGTTTTTATCTTTTTGTCCAAATTGAAGATTCCATATAGTATTTGACAATTTAAATGAAACTTGACTAAGTGTAAAATGGTTATTTAAATGATACAAATCTTGATTTTTGCAAATAAAAGTATCTAACATTGGCTTTGTAAGTTCTTTAGCACAAATACATTGTGTTGAAATACTTAATTGATTAATTGGTTGAAGTATTTTTGATCTTTGATGTCGAATTCTTTCTTGTTCCAGAATTATAAGATATAATCCAATAATCAAAGGTCCTGAAAATGTTGTTTTTTTATTTTTCATTTGATTATTTGACTAAATAAAATAATTTTAATTATAATAATAATAATTATATAAAAAAAATATTTTTTTAAATAATATTTACTTGAATATAGACCTGTGGGTCCATAGCACAGTGGTTAGTGCTTCACAGGTTAGATCACAAGATACCGGTTCAACCCCAGGTGAAGGCAGTTGAATAGAATTAATATGGTATCTGGCACCATAACCAATCATGTGCTGTTTCTC